GGGAGAAATATTGAAAACTACTATTCTTAAACAGTATTTTAAAATTCTATGTTAAATATTCTCTGCTCTTCTTGAGAATAAAAGATAAAAATAATCTCATGAAGTCTTTTTTATGCTTTTATGGTTCTAGCATTCTGAACTCACAACTAGGCCCAAAAGTTTCTTATTTACTAAAAATATTTGAGCACAGCATTATAAGGTTATTATAATATTCCAATTATTCCTATCCTTCTAAGAACATAATTTGGTTTAGGCAGAAGGTTATTAAATACTTGAGTGATTTACTATGAAAAATTCTAGACTGTCTTTCACTGGGTTTGTGGAAAAAAAAAAAGGAAAGAAAAGAAAGATCAAAACTAGACTGTTTTTCCACATCCTCTACCATTAATACTGCCACCAAGAAAACACCAAAAAATTAGCTAATCGATGCCCCCATATACCCATATTTTTAGATTGTTTTATTTATTAATATAAGTGCATAATGTTCGCAGGAATTGATTTTGGTAGTGATTTACTGTAGAATATCTGGTAAAAAATAATTGATTCACTTTTGGGACTTTGGTTCCTATAGTAATCAAAGTATAAGAATATACTGTAAAAAATTCACTTGAAGTTTTACACTCATACTCTGTAGTAGCAAATTGAATGCTTCTTGTTATTCATAAATGTCTTAACTGTCAGGATTTTCTAGGGTTGTAACAGAAAACCAGTGATTTCAGAAAGTCATTAAATAACTATTAGAGAAAGTAAGTAGTGTTAATAAAATGTGGACTCAGAACTTTCTGATTATTTTCTTAGATAAAACTCTCAGTTTTGTACTTTTTAGATTAGAAGAAATTTTTAGGCTTGATTGATGCCCATTTTACAAATCAGAACATATTATAGTTCTTATCTGCTTATTCTAAATTTATGATGGACATACTTGACTATATGATAAAATAAGATACATCATAATCTTACTACCAAAAGCTACCTTTTATAAACCAGAGTTAGAGATTTAGAATGAAATGCAAGGCCATGTCAATTATATCTTATCTTTCTAAAAGCTCTCTTGTAGCCTTCTGTTTAGAACCTCTTTTGGCTTTTAGGTTATTTAAAATGTTCAATGTTTACTCATTCACTAAACTAATTATATAGGTATAATGTATTTTATACAGGCACTATACAAAGCACAGAGCTGGAATGATAAACCTGACAATATATATGTGTATATCTCTCTATTCATTCAATAAATATTTATTGAGCATCTGCTGTATGCAAGGTACAATATCAGGAACTTCTTGATACAAGGGTGAACAAAACAGACACAGTCCCTGCACTGTTTGTAGTCTAGAAAGTAAGACATTAATTAGATGATCGTACAAATAAATGCAAAATTATCACTATGAGAAATGCTATGAAGGACAGATGAACAGTGCTATCAAAGCTCAAAAGGGAATTTGACTAGTCTTTGGAGAAATGAAACAAGGGCTGAAAGACTTCTCTAAGAAACTGACTTTTGAACTGAGAGGCAAATGATTATTGGAAATTATGTAGTTGAAGGAGGATGTGAGAAAGTTCTGTAAAGCAGAGATAACATATAAAAGTCTTGTACTGTAGAGAGTGTGAGTTACTTGAAATGAAAGGAGGTGGTGTGGCTAGAACACAGGGAGCAAGGAGGAGTGAGATGCAAGATAAGGCAGGAGAGTGATGGCAGGTGCCAGGCCAGTCAGGGCCTTTTAAACTTGAAGTCTTTTTCTCTAGAGCAATGGGAAGGCTTTGAGAGATGGTAAGCAGTGTGGGGATGGGAGGAAAGGGCATGAAAGGATAAGATTTGTTTTCCCAAAAGATTGGCAATAGAAGGAACTGAAGAGGGAAAAGTGTGAATGAGGGAGACCAGTTAGAGGCTATTGGAGTATTCCTGGACAAAAAAGCTTGCATTAGGGGAGTGACAGTGGAAATGGAGAAATTATGTTATGTGCGTATACCACACAAAGGATCTATCCTTTGAGGGATTTTTATTCTCTGAGCAAAAGTTTCCAATTGGAGATCTAAAGAAGTATAATTTGTTGCCTCTCCTGGCAATTATCCTACTGTCCCACTTGTAAGCTTGCAATTTCAAAAGTTCAATGATAATTATATTATTGGTACTTACTGATAGTTGTCTTGATAATAGGACAGTACTTGATGGTGACCCATTGCATCCTCAGTTTCTGGGGTTGCCGGGGTGTACCTACAACTTTATGTGAACACTAAACCTTCTCTTATTGAAATGTTATTTTCCCTCCTGAGTTTTCTCCTCCTCTTCCTATTATTATTATAGCTTTTTTTTCTTTTTTTAAGAATGTCATGTGACGATGGTGTCATGGTGTCTTATATTGGTTTATCAATGATATATTTAAGTTCTTGTTTTCCTTAATGCTTAATTACTAGATAGCCTATTATCTCCTGAGGAAAAAGCTTTAGGTTATAGAGTTACATGAGCAGGGTTGTTGTCTTCCAGATTCCCTCATTTTTCTCTTGTTCTGCTTTTCATTGAAGTTGATTGACTTATTCTCTCTTTAGTGTAAAACACTATGGAAAATAAGTGAATTTATTAGTGATTTGTAATAACTCTTTACAATAACCTCATCAATTATTTATAAAAGTGGTTTATTTACCAAATGAGCTTCGGTGAGAATAATGTGCTATACACATTAATTACTTATGAAATAAACAGATTTCACATCTTTGAATTTCAGTACATTTCCCCATTAATTTAGGATAAATTTTGATGACATTTTGCAAGGACCCTTAATAGCTAGAGAGTGTTAGAAGTCATGAAGGAAGAATTGCAGCTGGAAACATATTTAAGTTTTAAATAAAAGAAAACTTTTTTTTCCCGATAGTGTGTCAGTCACTTTAGAAAGTTGAAAATACAACATTCAGTGAACAAATGGCACATTTTCTATTTATCTTTAACCCCACCTATAAGCCTCTAGCCAGTTCAAAAGCTGTGTCCTGTCAGTCAGTAAAGAGATGGTGGCTCACCTTCTTTAGGGCTAACTCTTCTGTGGGGAGGGGAATAAGGGCTCATTAACAACTAAAGAATTATAAATAGAGGGCAGAGTTAACTGTGCTTCAGAGTTAACTCCTGGAATAAAAAAAGCTCTTCATTTTCTCTAGACGCTATGGAAGCTATGTCTTTTTTAAGGAACCAGTATATCTGCCTAAAGGTGTTTCTAACTTGCTGGGAGAACCTCTTTTTATGCTGGATCTACTCCTGCCTTCCTGGATTCTAGCATCTTGACTTGACTTCCTATAATATCAACCACCTTCTGAAACCTGTCTTCTACCTGACCTAACTTTCTTCTCTGCCAACCACCTGCCCTACCTGGTGCCTACTTTGATATTGTCTATCATCTGTGCCTTCTGCTCACCCTTGACAAGATAGCCCAATTCTGGCTCTTTCTCAAGAGCCAACTGTTACTTAGCACTGCTATACTTCTTATAGAAAATAGCATCCAGGATATGAGATTGGACCTGTTAGTTTGAGAGTAGTGTTATATCTTAAACCTTTTTCAGATCTTTAGAATGCTTACTAACTGGGACTTAAAGGTATTTTTGACTAGGGCTCTCTGAAGACTAAAGTTAAGATTTTAGGGGCTCCTGGGTGACTCAGTTGGTTAAGCGTCTGCCTTCGGCTCAGGTCATGATCTCAGGATCCTGGGATCCAGCCGGATCAGGCTTCCTGCTCAGTGTGGAGTCTGCTTCTCCCTCTCCCTCTTCCTGTCCCCCCAGCTTGTGCTCTCTCTGAAATAAATAAAATCTTAAAAAAAATAAAGTTAAGATTTTAAAAGTGGAATAGTTATTATCACTTCTTTTTCCCTGTACTGGTCTGGCCAGTAGTACATACTCAGGTATTTGTTGAATGTATTATAGTCACCAAATTCCATATTTAATTCTCTTTGGTGTCACCAACAAAAGCCATTCAGCTGCCTTTATTTCTGATTTCTTAGTACTATGTAAAGCACTCTTAAATTATTTTCTTCATCCACAAGCTAGCAGAATATTTTGTAGCAGCCATAAATATGATTCAAAACTAACGATACTGCTATAGAAAAACAAGATTTCTATTTACTGTTAAACACCAATTCTACTTAAGTCAAATAATGTACTTAGAACTTACGTGTTGATTAGCAGTATGATGTATGGCAGATTCACTTGCTGATATTAAAATACTAAATTGACTAGTTTCTATCTATACAAATAAGGTTGAAATCGGTACATTGTAGTACCTGAAAAACTTATATACACATTGTAGTACCTGAAAAACTTAATTATTTTATATATAATATACTGGTATAAGTGAAATAAAATTTATGTGGCACTGAGCATTAACTTCCTCCTGATATTCTGATTTTTAAAAAACTAAATATGTTTAAAAATTAATATGAAGAATGTTGATGACACTAATGTGTTTATTTTTATGTATAGTTTGTGTAATCTATTTCACTATTTTATAGTTGTGGCTTCTATATCATCAGAAGTTTAAAAAAACTCCTCTAAGACATAGTAGGATTGCATCTTTGTTTCAGAATTCACTGAAATGGTATGTAGTGTTTATTTCAGAGCAACTAATGATACGGTATGGGATTTTAGCCTTTTGTAAGCCTATAGTCTTATGTAGTTTCACCCATATGCAAAAAGAATATGATGTAAATAGTTACAGCGCTCAACAACGTGCATGAATTATTGATTTACAGTGAACGTATACATTGTACCAGTGAACTCATGTGAGCATTTCTAACCTATGGGATATTTGTTTTACAGGAGAAAATAGAAATAGAAATTATTTTTACAACTTGAATATGTAAATCCCCATTAATACCAATTATTTTGCCAATTGTTACCACAAAATTGGCTAAAATTAATACTCTTCTGTCATAATAGATCAAGGCAATTTACATTTAGTTTTCTTTGTCTTTTTTGTTTGTTTTGTTTTATTCTCTCCATTCCCCAATTATTTCATGGCATTTCAGTGCTTCAGAGAATTTAGATGAGCTCTCTTCCTCCAGTAGCTGGTTACTTAACCAGAAGCACAATAAGAAAAGGAGAAAAGACAGGACAAGATTGAAATCTCCATCCTTGGCTATCATGAGTACAGCTGCTCGAACAAGGCCACTTCAGAGTTTCCACAAACGAAAACTCTACCGATTGAGCCCTACTTTTTATTGGACACCACAGGTAAGGCTGCCTATGGGAAAACATGAACAAAGATTTTGTCATCAATGTATTTCACATACAAGAGGGTATGGATTGTACCTGATTATTTAGAATAATTATATCTAGAAAGCTTTAAATATATAGTTTATAAATGACGTAGGTATTGACAATATATAAGTGGAATTTAATAAATTTTTTAACATGGCAATGTATTAAACTTCACATCTCCATTTTTTAAAAATGCATTGTTATGCTTAAACTAATTTGAAGGAAAATTACATATCGTGGTGATTTTAAAATTTTACTGGTAACGGTAGTAAGGAAAATACAAGTGTACTACATATTTGTCTTGCTTAGTAAAGAAAAAAGTAAAAATCTGTGTAGCTGCCAGTTACTTCGTAAGAAATGGCATCTCTCTCCTTTTTAGGTTTGGTATTTGTTAATCCTGGAGAGCATGCCTTTTCCTTTGTCTAGAATATAAGCAATGCAATTTTATATATCCATGCTTACACTTTTTACAATTAAAATGTACTTCATTAAAACCATGCATTTTAAAAAGCATATTTTTCATTTGTTAGCAGAATGTTAAATGTACATCTTTCAATACATACCTAAAACTGTGATAAAGGGCAAGATAAGTTACCTCTAGTTTTTGTTATATGACATGCTTTTTAGGAAAGTTTTTAATAGGAAAATATTTTTATTTAAAGTTTTTATATACAAAATCATATTTTTAATTTTTATTTAAAGATGCTATAAGCAATAGATAAATAATATTTTTGAAATTGAGTCTGTAATTTCATAATTATACAGAGAATTGTTTACCTAAAATATTGAACATATGAATATACCATAATATTCTGACTGGAAGGAATTTGCTTGAATAATTTAGGGGATTTGTTAGATGTTATTAGAATACTTTATATGCCCTGAGATTGTAAAGATCGGCCTTCGTTCAGCAAGCCAAGGAAGAAACACGTGTGAGATTATTGTTACTGGTAGACCACATACTATATCATATTCCAGTCATTATGCTAAGCATTTTCAGTACATTATTTTATTATTATCTCAAAATATAATTGTGAGATGTTGTTAATCCCCCCTTTAGATGCAGAAATTGAGGTGCAGAGAGATTAAGTAATTTGCCCAAGGTCACACAGCTTGTAAGGAAAATGTCTGATTCCAAACCCCATGTTCTTACCCATTGTATTGAGAATGACAAAAATAAACCAAATCTTTTTTGTTTTTGAAATCAGTTAAGACAGTATATTTGGGGGTTGGGGAAGGGGCTTATCTGGTTAGAGGTATTAAGATATGCATCATAAAATAAGGGCTTTGAAAGACAAACAGATTTTTGAAAGGTTATGGGAGAGTTAAAGAATTTTAAGTAAATAGGAATAGAGATGAAAAAAATGATGGAAAATAACACATGTCCTCACCCCTAACTTATCCCCCAGATTGCCAGGATATTTAGTTGCAAATTATTTACCTTTCTAAACTTAATAAATGTCCTTTCTCTCAGGAAGCCTTCCTTGACATCCCCACTATGGGATATTACTATAGCACCTTGTTATAAAAATAACTCATTATTTTATTATTATCACTTATTTTTCTGTTTTTCTCATTATATTGTAAGTTCTTAGAAAATAGGGACTATGTATTTCTGAACCTACAGAGCTTTGAACAGTAACTGTCCCAATAGTATATGCTCAATAAGTAATTGTTTGATGTATGAAAGAATTAATGTAGTGGACACAGGAACATATTTAAAAGGTAATGGAGAGTGAGAACTTACAAGTGTGTGTGTGTGTGTGTGTGTGTCCTCAATTCACTTTGTGAAAAGATGTGTAACAGTAAGTAATGTCTAATAGAATTTTCTTGTAATGATGGAAATGTTCCATAAATACCTGTGCTATCCAATACAGTAGTAACTAAATACATGTAGCTATTCAGCACATGAAATGTGACTAGCGCAACTGAGGGACTGAACTTTCTATTTTATTAATTTTGATTTAAATAGCCACATATGGATAATGGCTACCATACTGGATATGACCACTCTAGACTCATACTTACCCTGAGAGCAGTGAGTACATAATGGTACTCATTCTTGTTTTCTTTTCTTTTTTTTTTTTTTTTAAAGATTTTATTTATTTATTTGAGAGAGAGAGAGAACACATGAGAGGGGATAGGGTCAGAGGACAAAGCAGACTCCCTGCCGAGCAGGGAGCCCGATGCGGGACTCGATCCCGGGACTCCAGGATCATGACCTGAGCCGAAGGCAGTCGCTTAACCAACTGAGCCACCCAGGCGCCCTCATTCTTGTTTTCTAATACCATTCCCTGTTGAAAGGAAATAGAGATGTTTGAAAAAATGGCTGACCTCCAGATGTGGGGAAGAGAGGGTATAAGATGAGCTTGGAATATCTCAAAATGTTACCAGAAAGCAAGGTAGTGTTAAAAAAAAGTGATGGGGGGGGGCATATCAAAAGAACCCAGAAGCTAGTTTGCAGAGGCTGCCACTGGCCAAATTTAGGGCTATTTGATCATCAAAATAACTAAGGACAGTAATGAACCATTGAAAAAAGGAAACCATGCATCCATACTGCTGACAGTTAAATTGATAGGTAAAAAGGAGAAAGGGAGGACTTTCCCATATAGTAGAATGCTGATTAATAAACATGGAGTGAGCACAACTACAGAATTATGCAGTCATCATAGTAAAGACTGATTGGGAAAGAATCATCAATGGGTGATCAAAACTCAGATAGCCTATGAGAAGAAGAATACAGTTTCAGTATGCCATATTTTGGCCAGGGATGGATGGCCGAATTTAATTATAAGGAAATATGAGACAAAGCCAAAACCAGCAGCATGTTATTAAGAAACAGTGAAAAGTGGCCTGTCTTCTTCAAAAAGAAAAAGTCAGTGTCTTGAAAGTCAAGAAAGACTGAGGCAGATTGAAAGAGACTTTAAAAAGATGTATGACAGGGGCGCCTGGGTGGCTCAGATGGTTAAGCGTCTGCCTTCGGCTCAGGTCATGATCCCAGGGTTCTGGGATCGAGTCCCGCATTGGGCTCCCTGCTGGGCGGGGAGCCTGCTTCTCCCTCTGCCTCTGCCTCTCTCTCTCTCTCTCTCTCTGACTTTCATGAATAAATAAATAAAACATTAAAAAAAAAAGATGTATGACAATTAAATGAATATTTGATCCAATCAGAATTCTTTTAAGGGGGGAGAGGGGATTCTTGGGGCAATTGAGAAAACTGTGCCTTTGGTGGTAGATTATATAAAAGTATTGTATCAATATTGAATTTCTTAAATGTGATAACTTTTGCCATCATGTAAGAATATATCCTTATTTTAGGAAGTACACATTGAAACATTAAGAAGTAAAGTGGCTAAGGCATCCATTTTACTTATTTTTAAAGATTTATTATTTTAGAGAGAGGAAGAGGGAGAGTGCAGGGGTGTGGAGGGGCAGGGGGAGAGAGAGAGCGAGAGAGAGTCTTAAACAGACTCCAGACTGAGTGCAGAGCCCGGCACAGGGCTCAATCTCACGACCCTGAGATCACAACCTGAGCTGAAACCAAGAGTCGGATGCTTAACCGACTGTATCACTCAAATACCCTAAGGCATCCATTTTATGTAATAAATTAACTCCTATGCTTGTGGAATGGTACTAGTTACGTAGCATCCTTGGTAGAATTGAGAAAATAATAATTTAAATTATTTTCTATAACACTTAACTCTCTAGCAACGTACTGGCTGAGAAAAGCTTATATTAAAGGCAATGGAGAGGTGGGGAGTTCTGCTACAACGTAGCATATAGTAATTAGCTGATCATCACTCTCATTGCAACAAGTACATGTATAATTGCAGGAAAAAAATCATCATACTAGTAAAGACATTAGCAAGACGTCTGGTTTCAGCTCCAACACATAAAGAGAAGTCATCACTTCTACCCTTACAATAAGAAAGAGTGAACAAACTGAAAATCTGTGCTTTTCATGGACCCATCAAAGAATTGAGGTTACAGTACAAACTGCCACCCTGAAATATGGGGAGAAAAGTAACTCCAGAGAGCCACAGCCAAGATGTGCCTACTTGGAGCAGAAGCCACAGCAACCATAAACTTAACTGGTAGGAACACTTAACTGGTAGTTTTGATGAATTACTGGGGGCTGAGTATAGACTAGACTAGCTTGAGAGTGAAAAACTCCTGGGGACTATAGTCTTAAAAGTCCCTCCACACATTCATGGACTTTACTTCTAGGCACCTCATTATGTTCTCACAAAGAAGATCCTCAGTGGCTATGGTGTGGGAGGGGAAGGGATAACTTTTATGAAATGAACCCAGAAATTGTAACACAGCTTTTTCTTCCAGGGAAAAGACTTTAGTGAAGTCTTAGCTTACCTGTGAGAAAAGCACTTTTTCCACTGCTGCCCCCTGTAGCCTTTCTGTCTCACCTAACAGGCAGTGAGGGTGGAAAATAAGAAACATTTGTTAAAGTCACAGACCCACTAAAAGACTAAGATTTAATCATGAGATTATAGTAAATTATGGTACTGTGGTAGGTATGCTTCCTTTCTTTTTCTTATTTTTTTAAAGTAGGCTCCATGCCTAACGTGGAGCATGAACTCACTGCCCTGAGATCAAGAGTTGTAGTTTCTACTGACTGAGCCAGTCAGGCACCCCTGGTATGCTTCCTTCCCCCCTACTTTACCCCACACCAACAAGATTCTGGTACTATTAACAGTAGGTTACAGCTGCAAAGCATAGACTGTGAGGAGGAGTGATTAAGGAAGTTAAAAGTCAATAGGGAAGACAAAAACAAAGATACTAGAGGAATTTTGAGTCCTCTAGCACTTAAAACTATAGCAGATATTATACACAGCCCACTCCTAGCCAGATTAACATTATGCCTCACAATAAAATTCTGTTTACCTCAGGGTGCCTGGCTGGTTCAGTCAGAGGAGCATTCGACTCTTGATCTCCGGTTGTGAGTTCGAGTTCCATGTTGG